GACAATTCAACAAGGAAAACGTGTGCTCAATTTTTTTTTCTGTGCCCTTCGACATTTTAGAAGGGAGGGGCACCATTGGCTACCTCAGCCAGCCCTCTCGAAATTTTTTTTTACTCTATTTATTGGGGTGCACACGCATGGTTGCGTGTGCACTAGGCGCCACACGTGCGTAGCTCGCCCGCACGCGATGCGCCGGAGTATAGGGGTGATATAGGGGGTTATGGATAGTTTAATAAGGGTGTTGGCGGCTGTTCGGGGCTGTTTGGGTGGTGTATGGGGTATTGGGGCCTGCTATGGGGGTGTTGGTGATATTATTAGGGGTTCTGGACCCCATCAAAAAAAAAAAAAAATGCGGGGTGCTGACGACCCCCGACCAGTAGGTGCCGACCAGTCAAGGGTCGCCGACGGTCGGGGTGTGCAACACTGGTGGAAGAGATATTCAGTGACCACACAAAAGTAGCCCAATCGTTCCCACTCCTCCGGGCTGCCCCTCGCCTCCACGTCAGCAATCAATGTACAGTAACAAGTCTGATGATCACACAGAAGTGCCACGTGTCACTATCATCTCGTGGAGACGTTGAAGACAACAGCAGTACACGGTATCGGCGTCAACCTCAGGAGAGTACCTATTCCCAATCATCCACAGATCCCGATCTCCCTCCTTGTCGCAACCAGTCACCTCATGTAGACAGCGTGACCAATGCCATGTCAGCAGTAGAGACAGGTGGCATGCACCACATCGACAATGAAGACAGGTGGCATGCGCCATATCGACAATGAAGACAGGTGGCAGGAATGTAATGTAGACAGGTGGCAACGCCACATCAGCAATGCAATGTAGACAGGTGGCAGCGCCACGTCAGCAAGGTAGACAGGTGGCAGCTTCACATCAGCAACGTAGACAGGTGGCAGCGCCACATCAGCAAGGTAGACAGGTGGCAGCGCCACGTCAGTAATGCCTGGCGCACACAGAAGGCGCCAGCATGCTACCACAGTCCCGCGTCGTCGTCCACAGTACTAGCGCACAGCCAGCGTCGAGGCAGATTTGACAGACTGACTGTTGACCACCTGTAGACCAAGCCTCATGTGGCATTTGACAAGGCTGTCTGGTCTCAGGTCCCCCACCCACAGTCGTACAGATTGACTCACAGCCGAAGGCCTGGATTGCATACAGTTGCAGACTTCCCTTCGGCCTTAATGCTGTCTGGG